TTTTCTTGTTTTTTAATTATTAAAATAAAAAATAAGTATTAAATTTAGGAAAAGAATGAAAAGAATGGAAAATAAATACATCAAAGGTATTATAGTCATTTCAATTTTCGAAGTGATCAAATACGCAACGAAACTAATTCAAAAAGACCAACAATCCAAAAAATTTAAGGTTTGAACCAAAACCCAAAAAAAATACATATCACAGAGACTATGTTTGCAGTTTTGTCAATAAATAAAAATTAATAATAAAAAATGAAAATATGAAATTGAAATATATTATTTGGTTTATACTATATATATATATATATATATATATATATATATATATATATATATATTAGAAAATGAAAGTATAAAAAGACACGTTAAAAGAGTTAAATATAAAGTAAAGTTGTATATATAAAATAAAGTTTTATAAATCATTTGTCAATTATGTAAGTATAAATCATATCAAATTGGGTTATGAAGTCAAAGTGGTTTTGATAAAGTGGTTTTTGGGGTTAAATGGGTGTGAATAACAACACTTCGAGTTCACATTTCAGCCAAACTCAACTTGGCCACTAGCTCGTGTCTGGCAGTCTGTCTCTTCACCATCTTTGAGAAACACATAGACCTGTGATCTATCCACATTTATGACCAAGACTAATACTCTATAACCATATATAACTAAGGTTAATTTATATGCAACTACCGTTAATGATTTTCATGTGTCTTTATTTTTACTTTTTTATTAAAGTTTAAGCATTCGGGATAGCTGTATTGGTCAAAAAGTGTTGCCTCACATGTCATATCATCCGACACCCATTATGTTATAACATCATTGTGAAAAATGGTCGTCATATTAGGCTGGAGGGATTGGTGCCACACTCCCTCATGAAACTGCAGTGACACGTAGGCGTCATGTCACCATTTACCACAAAAGTGTGGTTTCATACCACACACAAGGAGTGGTGTCACACTTTGACTTTTTTTTGTTTAATAAATAATTTGGATTTATAAGTCAAGGGTAGATTGTGTCATTTCTGAAACTAATTATGTAGAGAGAAGTTAAGCGGGTTTTTTTTTTCTGTTCGTAGACCAAACTCCAGGGACCTATTATGCCAAATTCAGAAAATAGGATGTCTTCTTTCTCGCAGCTCGTGCTGCCTAATTTCCTCCATTGTTAACAAATCCAAACTCGAATTTTTGAAAGTAATTCAATTTCTAGCCTCAAGTAGCTTCCCTTTCGAATCTTAACCACATCGGAGGGGCGGTGTTCAGCTGCCACGGTAGCAAAACTGCAGTCTGGAACCGCACCACTCCCTCCGGTCTTATAATAACCACTAATTTTCATGTCATTTTTTTGTGTGTGTTTTTTTAATAATTATTAAAACAAATATAATTTTAAACATATTATTTAAATTAAACATAATATTTAAATTAAACATAACATTTAAATTTAAAACAAAAAATACATTTTTTTTCCTAAATAATATTATCCGTCATCATCGTTACCGTCGTAGATATAATCTGTCAAGTCTTCTCGAAGTTGCCTATGTTTTTATGCGTCTTGAATATCAACTACTGTGTGCAAATATAATATTTGATGTTCCTGGTTGAAATTGAATGTGGCTGGGCTCCGTTGAGATATAATGTGCAATATTTTGTCATTTATCTTTTACTATCATGTTATTCATTATGATACATGCATACATAATATATCATAGAGTTTCTAAGTCCAATGGTCGTGTCGCATGTTCTACTATGTGTCACTTCGACTCAAGAATTCCAAAAACATGTTTCATATCCTTATGTGCTCCTTCTTGTCTTATTTTGAATAATTTTTCTCTTAGTTCCACCGGTGTCAGAATGTCTTCACGAATGTGGAATACACAGGATATATTTCATCCGTAAGGTAATAC